TTTATTATTCTATGTAATAATTTATAGTGCTTAGTATAATTTACTAAGAACAACTACTATTTATCAAAACAAACCTTCGATCTTTCAATAGGATGTAGCTGATCTGTCATATTTTATGAGCATGGACAATAGTAGGTAAATTTTACAACCCATGTGGGACCTGAAAACTACAATTTTCTTTATAATTGAACCAATCACGACTATTCTGCTGTCTACAGCGATGTACGGTTACTGTGAGACGTAAATTGGAACGTGAGGGAGAGTTTGGGACTTGAAAAAAATATAACTGGGAATATGCCACATATGTACTAATTCATAAGCAAAATATTGACTATAAGCATTAAGTTATATATGTACTGTCTTGTGCGAGAGCGGGTTGCTCCCAGATCCCTTTCGCAATCCGACTTCACAATCTCAACACCATCCAGCTCGTATCTTGTAACTCTGGCATCATTACATAGCCTCAAAACCTTACATTTATCAGCAATAAACTGCATCTGCCAATCATTTAACCATTTCAAAACCTTATTTAGATCAACTTGAAGCGATAGTGAGTCTTCTTCCATGTTAGTTAACATAACAACTTAAGAACATAAGAACAAAGGTAACTGCAGAAGGCCTATTGGCCCATACTAGGCAGCTCCTATTTATCATCATATTTACCCAATCCCACTTATATATATGTCCAACCTTCCCTTGAAACAATCGAGGGACCCCACCTTCACCAAGTTACGCGGTAATTGGTTCCACAAATCAACAACGCTGTTACTGAACCAGTTTTTACCCAAGTCTTTCCTAAATCTAAACTTATCAAATTTATATCCATTGTTTCGGGTTCTGTCTTGTGTTGATGCTTTTAATACCCTATTAATATCCCCATTGTTATGTCCATTCATCCACTTGTAAACTTCTATCATGTCACCCCTAACTCTTCGTCTTTCCAGTGAATGCAATTTAAGCTTTGTTAATCTTTCTTCATATGAATGATTTCAAATTTTTAGGAATTATTTTTGTCATCCTACGCTGGACACGGTCAAGTAAATTTATATCCATTTTATAGTATTTAGGTGGTGTTGAGATTGCGAAGTCGGATTGCGAAAGGGACCTGGAAGTTATGATTAGTAAGAATTTAAAACAAAAGGATCAATGCATGAATGTTCGTAATAAGGCGAATAGGACACTGGGATTTATTAATCGAAGTGTTAGCAACAAGACACCTGGTGTGGCTCTTCAGCTATATCTTGCTCTGGTTAGGCCCCATTTAGATTATGCAGTTTAGTTTTGGTCGCCGTACTATAGAATTGATATAAATTCACTTGAACGTGTCCAGCGTAGGATGACAAAGTTAATTCCCCAAATTGGAAGTCTTTCTTATGAAGAAAGATTAATAAAGCTTAAATTGCATTCACTGGAAAGGCGAAGAGTTAGGTGACATGATAGAAGTTTACAAGTGGATGAATGGACATAACAAAGGGGATATTAATAGGGTATTAAAAGTATCAACTCAAGACATAACACGAGACAATGGGTATAAATTGGATAAGTTTAAGATTTAGGAAAGACTTGGGTAAATACTGGTTCGGTAACAGGGTTGTTGATTTGTGGAACCAATTGCCACGTAACGTGGTGGAGGTGGGGTCCCTCGATTGTTTCAAGCGCGGGTTGGACATGTATATGAGTGGGATTGGGTGGTTATAGATAGGAGCTGCCTCGTATGGGCCAATAGGCCTTCTGCAGTTACCTTTGTTCTTATGTTCTTATCAACGCTAGACAGAACACGAAACAACGGGTATAAATTGGATAAGTTAAGATTTAGGAAAGACTTGGGTAAATACTGGTTCGGTAACAGGGTTGTTGATTTGTGGAACCAATTGCCGTGTAACGTGGTGGAGGTGGGGTCCCTCGATTGTTTCAAGCGCGGGTTGGACATGTATATGAGTGGGATTGGGTGGTTATAGATAGGAGCTGCCTCGTATGGGCCAATAGGCCTTCTGCAGTTACCTTTGTTCTTATGTTCTTATCAACGCTAGACAGAACACGAAACAACGGGTATAAATTGGATAAGTTAAGATTTAGGAAAGACTTGGGTAAATACTGGTTCGGTAACAGGGTTGTTGATTTGTGGAACCAATTGCCGTGTAACGGGTAGAGGTGGGGTCCCTCTATTGTTTCAAGCGCGCGTTTGACATGTATGTGAATGGAATTGGGTGGTTATAGATAAGAGCTGCCTCGTATGGGCCAATAGGCCTTTTGCAGTTGCCTTTGTTCTTATGTTCTTATGTACCACGCTCTCTTTCTAACTATTACGTTCTTCAGATTATTTGTTATTCATTTCGGGTCATTTGTATTTGATCTATTCAATTTGTAAGGCATATACTTTTCTGTGGTTTGTGTGTGCCAACCTTCGTGTACGCATATAACCTAATAAACATTTGAGATAAAGAAAATAAATACATTTTCTTTTGTGTACCTGACTCCCCATCCCATCCCAAGTGCGCCTGACCTCTTCCCTGGGCTATATAGGCCTCATGGATAGGCACTTTCTCCACATAGTTCCTTTCCTGTTGTTTACCCCTAAGCCTGCAAGGACGCGTTCGAGTCCCGAGTACAGAGTAAGGAGACCTCACCTGTGTCAGTGTCTAATATTTGTTGTTTTAGATTTAGCTACTCAGAACGAAGTGTCCACGTAGTACGGGCTATGGTGAGCTCGTAATTGATTTCGGTTATTTGCGATAACGTTTCTGTGATATTTGGGTCTAACTTTAAAATGGAGGAGGGGATTCCTCCTTTTTCCCTGTGTATTGATCGCTTCTGCTTTAGTGCACTGGTCTTGTTTTATTAACACTATCTTGGAGGCGGATGTAGATGCAGAATGCTCACTAGTGAGTCCCATTCCTTAACGGCTTTTCTAATCATTGTAGTCGAGGTGGAATGTGCATCTAATGCAGCTGCTGTCGTTGGATTAATGTTGAGTTTGAAGAGCAGGGCTTCAGTAGCTTCACATTCCAGTAATTAGTGCAATAGTGGTGCCTCTGCTTCTATTTCACAGATGTGACACTCTTTAACTATTAGGTTCATTACCTCCCAGCAGCACTTGTAACCAATTCTGAGTCTGTGTATGGCTACTGCAATGTCTCTGGATATTTTTTTGCCAGGCCAGGCTTGAAAGAGGAGTACCCAGTGGCTTGTTCGTATCATATCGCAGTAGATCTTCCTTCCAGCTACTCTTCAGAGCCAGCTACTCTGGCTCTGTGGCGACTTTTGATAGTTGAGAATATTTTCTTCTTGATTTGCTCCTTAATCTGTGAAAGAATTGGAAGCATTTGAACCTTATGGAAACTGCTCTACCTGTATAACAGGTAGAGCAGTGGCAGTTTTTCATAGATTTCATTACCATCTATGCCAATGTGACTTGGTATCCAATTTAGGGTGATTGACAGCCTTAGATTATGGGCTTCTTTTCCTATATGTTGAATTTCTGTGAGCAGTTGTATATTATTTCTGTGCTGACTGGATAACAATGCCTGGAGCGAAGATTTAGAGTCTGTATGGATGATGTCATCATGTAAATTATTCTCAATTGTATAGTTTATTGCCTCCTTCAGGGCATATAATTCTGTTTGCAATGTTGAGCACCCACTATTCATGTTCCAGTAAGCTTCATGGTTGGTAGTGTAAACTGCTGCCCCCAGCAGAACTTCTTTCTTGATCAACTGATCCGTGAAGATGTGAGTCGTTGTAGGTCTTGAGATGGTTTCCATTTGTTGTTCTATTACTTCCTTGGGCCTCTGCGGGTCACATGCTGATTTTTGAACTGGTAATCTTTCAATGATTGTCTTTAGATTCGATTCTTCCTATGGAGGACGCTGTCGAAAGTGTTGATATTGATAATGGTCCATTTCAGGGCCATTTTCTCTAAAATCTTGACCAGATTATCCATCCATGAGGTTGTTCTATATTGTAGGTTTTTCTGAAAGGATCTCTGTTTGATGTCTTTGACAGTTATCACTGAGGGATGTAAGAGCAGGAGCAGCATTGTCAAAGCTTGAGCTTCATGAATTGTTCCATGAGCCAGTTGAAGATGAAGGTTCTTAGTGTTCCTCCCTGCGGAGTTCCATTTTCTGGCCTCTTTGAGGTCGATGTTTTTCCTTGGAATTTGACTTTTGCTTCTCGGTTAGGCATTTCCATAAGCAAAGGAAGGAGGCTTCCTTTGGTAAAGGCAAGAGCGTGTCCTTTGATTTCCTTATCCACAAGGCACCAGTGTAGCTGGATCACTGGCTAACTCGAAGGCTTTTTCAAGGTCTAGAAAAATATTCTATCTATTCTATTCTATATAAAATTATCTAGAAAAATAAGGATTCCAGGTTTGTCATTGACTTGATCCAGGAGGGAGGTAAGGCATTCTGTGGTTCCAACACCTTTTCTGTAAACAAACATTTTGGTGTAAATTGGCTTTCCATTCGATTAAGGGCCATTCTTTCTGCAGTTTTGGCCAGACAGAATGGTCACGGCCCTTGTGGATTTGTTCTATGTTTTACTCTTTTGGGCGTACAATACAGTGCCATATTGTATTCACAAATATTTTTTATTGTATATTCTTGACATTTTGTTAATATCAGCATTGAGAAGAAGGAATAGTTAAATTTCCATAAATATAACTTGAACATCTGCCATTTGAATTTAAATTTAATAATATATTTTCTAATTAAAAATTTGATTATGATAATTTCATATTCACCATTCATTATTCAGAACTGAACTCTGAATATTCCTGTGTGGTTTTTATTTGTAACTGCTCTCCACCTTCATATGGTACATATGTGATCATGCGTACTCTTGGATTTACTTATACATTAACTACCAGGTGTATTCTGCTCTGATATGATATTTCCGCATTACTGTACCGTAAAATCATTTCCAAAGTAAAGATTGCATTTTATTATATGTAATGCTGGTAGTTGTCAGGAATGTAATTGTGGGTGTTCATTTTACTCAAACAGTTCAGTTTCAATATGTTTGGAGAGCCGCTGCAGCCACGGCCTTTCAACACCCACTACCGCTGCTACTCTGTCTCCATGTTCCCCGGAGACAAGCAAGCTGTGGAGAAAGGTGGCAGAAGTAAGTGTGAAATTTAGTCAACGTTTATGAAACAAATATCAGTTGGTACTTAGCAAATTGCACCTTAATAAGCTTATTTATATTTTATCTGGATATTATAGTTACCAGTACAGTATACTTTTGAAATGTGATATTTTCTGTAGTTCATTCAGTTAATAAATTTATCCATAAAGTAAATTATTAAATTTACGATTAAAGAGGGGGAATAATTCTTCTTTGCACTCGTATTAATTGTTCTCGTATTTATGATTTCACATTATTATACAGTGTTTCTGTTTTCAGTTATTATGCCCCCTTCAGCTTTGGCTGTCCTAACACGTCATACTATTGTGTACCCAATGCTATTCAAGCTTACAAACCAACGGGCAAATAGACACACGCATTGTGGAGTACTGGAGTTTGTGGCAGATGAAGGAAAAGTGTATATTCCCCATTGGGTAAGTTGTTTCATAAAGTTATTGTCTATTGTATTAGCTTAAAAGCTATAACTTTCTAAGTACGACCATCATCATGAGTTGATCGTTTTGTGCAATGCAGTCATCAAATGATGATATACACGTGAACAAATCCAGGACCGTGACGAGGATTCAAATCCACAAGGGCCCTTGTGGATTTGATGCATCACGTTATTGTGATTTCTGTGTGCGATGATATACGGTTTGTGTCAATGTTTGAGCAGTGTTGCCCATATGGTTCCAGTAGCTTATTGGTGTCTCCAAACTGTTATGAGAGATGCCACAACATAATGTTGAGCCAGGCATACTTGAAGTATGCCAGGCTCAACAGTCATAGCCATAGATACAGTCCTGGGCCCTTCTCGTCTTGCATGATTGTAGCACTTGCGGAGGCTTGCATAAAGCTCTTCGCTGTACGTTATATATTTATTGAATATCCTTTTTGTTGTTGCACATAGATTCCTTACTTTTGAATATATTTCATATCAACTGTTGCTGCCAACAATATTTCTGTTTTGTACTATTAGTTTTGTAGTGTTCCTCCTCTCTCCCCTTCCCCCTGTCCCCTTTCCCCTCAAAGAAAATCAAACTTTAACATTCCTAGATTAGTAATTATATATACATACCATATTAGGACTAAGATAGCATATATTAGACCTTGGATTATTTGGACAAATTGGGTTAGGTTGTTTGTTTTTCCAGTATTTCAGTGTCATTTGGGGTCATTTAATAATACAAAAGTGACCTTTTTGGGATCCAACAGTCCACTTATATACATTTTGCCAAAGTTGCTACATGTACAATAATTTTAGGAGGACAGACTGATAATTTTGTCCAAGTTCATGAGCGCAAATTAAAAGCTACAAAAAATAAAACGGCTGAATTTTAACATATATTTCAAGCTGGAAGAAAACATGAGTGTAACCTTAACCCTTAAACGGCGCAAAAAACATTATATGATTGGACATAACATCCGTTCCTGAGATTTGCAAAAAAACTTTCTAATTTTTGGTGCATAATCAACTAGGCCAATACACCAATTTTATCTAAATGATAACCAATGTAACTTAAAAAACAAGAATATAAGAAATATTTTTACAATTTAATATGTAAAACTTTATATTCTAACTTTGGTCTCTCAAAGGTCAGGAGCAGTTTCATTAGTATTTCCCCATCCATGTCTTTAAAAGCAATTCTAAAATTGAGAAGTGTAGCATAGGCTCCACGTACAATATTCTTTATGCCGTCCTCAGGTGACAGTTTTGTATCTAGAACCGCTCCTAGATCTTTCTTAATTAGAATTCTTTATAGCATTTTCACATTTGTAGGTTGTGTGTGGCCTATTTTCTCTTATTCGACAATCCATGTGGCATTTCATCACATTAAATTCCCTTTGCCAAGTTGTTGCCCCATACACTTATTTTGTCCAGGTCTTCTTTAAAGGGCATGAAAATTGTGTAAGTTTCTTGTCTTCCCTCGTATCTTAGCATCATGAGCAAAGTTGCTAACATCTCTAAGATCTAAAACCCATCTCTAGATAGGTCTTTGGATAGATATAGATTGTCACCATTTTCAATTCAAACTAGGTTTTCCAAAAAATGCAGCTACTATTTTTTTTCTATTTAGAATGTTTACAACTTTAATTTGATGTTGGAATATAGTGACCCCACTACCCTCCACTCATTGGTGAAAACTCCTACTTTCCCTGTGATATTGAAGGTTGGGTCAGAGGGACATCTGCCACAAAAGTTAAATTGGAAAATAAAAAAATGATAATGGTGCAAAAGGCTTTGTTATAACATTTGATGATTGTGATACATTTTTGGGGAATTGAAAAATTATTCTATTCCATTTATAGTAATGATTAGTATTTTTCTTTGACAGATGATGAGGAATCTTCTTTTGGGTGAAGGTGATCTTGTGCATATTGAATCTCAGTCTTTGCCTGTTGCCACTTTCTCCAAGTTGGAACCTCAGAGTGTGGAATTTCTTGACATAACAAATCCTAAGGCTGTCTTGGAAAATACCATGCGCAATTTTGCATGCTTAACCTTGGACGACGTCATTGCTTTCAACTATAATGACAGAATATACGGGATGCGAGTTCTAGAAGTAAAGCCGGGCAATGCTGTTAGCATCATTGAGTGTGACATGAATGTAGAGTTTGCCCCTCCAATTGGCTATCAGGAGCCAGAAAGAATAAATAGTGCAGCAGCTATGCCTCTAGATGACAAAGAGGAAATGATTCCTAAACCCACAGGATTTTATTCGTTCCAAGGCTCAGGAAACAGAGTGGATGGTAAAAGGAAAAACCTCGAGTTGTCTCAAGAAGAACTGTTAAAGAGGCTTCCAAGGCAGCGAGGAATTCCTGATTATGATTATGAAGTTGGGTCAATAAAATTCTGGAGAAAAGCCACTAAAACAAATGATGTCGAGACTAAAGTTGAGAAACAAAAGGAATTCGAGGCTTTCCAGGGTAACGGTACTTCCTTACGAGAAGCTAAACTAGAAAATAATATGTAATTTAAAAAATTTAAATAAGTAAAATTTAAATGTAAAGAATAAAGAAACACAATTTAAAGAAAGTCGCTCTTCCTTTTCCTTGCAGCTGTTTTGTGCATCAAGAATGTTAGCTCAATGTGGCTACCTTTAAAAATACCAGTACCAAATAATAAGAATTAAAGTACTATATTGTATATTAAAACTAATTGCACAAATTACATGAAAATCATTTTCAAAATTATGAAGTGCTAACATATTCCTCCTCCTTTCACATTTCTATTTGCCTTACTCTATGAACTTCCAACTTATGAACTTCAACAACTTTACACCGCCACTATGTGAGTTGTCTGTCGTAACTGACAAATCATTTATGTTTATTTATTATCATTTATTATCAAATGTTTAAAAGAAAAGACTGCTCACAGACACACAGAGATCACAATTGCGTGATGCATCAAATGAACTTCCTTTGAATAATAATCAATGATATTAGAACATATACAGTATAAACAAAAAAAATTTAATCTTAATTTTTAAAATAATCATGGGTTATAATAATATGAAATACATGGGTTATATATTGGGAGATACGTAATAATTCTTACCACACTTTAACGCTTTGGGACGTTATACATCATGTAGCAGCTTGAGGTCTCCGTCGCTCATCTCGTACACCTGTGCAAATACACCATATTATACATTTTTGTCTACTGGACAATGCTGCCAAAGCAAAAGAATGAATTGCAATGCTGGTACTGTACTCATGCTCAAATGGATTAATTGGACTGTCTCCCCTTGTTTCATCCTAAATTACGTTCAATCTGACACAGGCAGTCACTTTAAACAATAATATTCTTTACAAAAATTACTTGTGATGTTGCCCGTATATTGCAATGAAGAAAAAAAGCTTCCAGTCCAACTAGCATTTTAAGAAAATGATATCTGCTCTAGTGGGAGTTTACACCCTATTGGGGTATAAACTATGATTTTATAATTAAAGTTGTATAAACTATGAGTTGGTAATTAGACGGACCCCCAGAGCGGGCCCATGTATTTACCCCAAGCTATCCATAGTCACCCAGTGCTACCCCGGCCTTCTAGCATTACACAAGTAATGAAGATATATGAAATATTTATCCCCTACCTTACCTTGAGGTTACCTTACCTTATTCATCTACTGCAACCTTGAGGTGCTTCCGGGGCTTAGCGTCCCCGCGGCCCGGTCGTCTGTTGGACGCGGCTGCTCGCAGCCTGACGTATGAGTCACAGCCTGGTTGATCAGGTATCCTTTGGAGGTGCTTATTCAGTTCTCTCTTGAACACTGTGAGGGGTCGGCCAGTTATGCCCCTTATGTGTAGTGGAAGCGTGTTGAACAGTCTCGGACCTCTGATGTTGATAGAGTTCTCTCTCAGAGTACCTGTTGCACCTCTGTTTTTCAACGGGGGTATTCTGCACATCCTGCCATGTCTTCTGGTCTCATGTGATGTTGTTTCTGTGTGCAGGTTTGGGACCAGCCCCTCTAATAACGTGTAAATTATTATGTACCTCTCCCGCCTGCGCTCAGGGGAGTACAGTTTTAGGCTCTTTAGTCGGTCCCAATAGTTTAGATGTTTTACTGAGTGGATTCTAGCAGTAAAGAATCTCTGCACGCTCTCCAGGTCAGCAATTTCTCCAGCTTTGAAAGGTGCTGTCATTGTGCAGCAGTACTCTACTCTAGAGAGCACAAGCGTTTTGAAAAGTACCATCACCGGTATTTGTGAAAAGTTCTTGTTATCCAACCTGTCATTTTTCTTGCAGTTGTGACGGCTACTTTATTGTGTTCTTTAAAGGTAAGGTCTTCCGACATGAGTACACCCAGATCCTTTGCATTGCCTTTTCGTTCTATGTTATGATTTGCCTGAGTTTTGTACATGGTTTCCGTTTTTATATTTTCATTTTTTCCATAGCGCATAAGCTGGAACTTATCTTCGTTAAACACCATATTATTTTCTGTAGCCCATAGAAAGACCTAGCCCATAGATCTACATCTGACTGGAGGTTCGCCGTGTCCTCTATGTTGCCTACTCTCATGAAGATCCTAGTGTCATCTGCAAAGGATGATACAGTACTATAGGTTGTGTTCTTGTCTATGTCCGATATGAGGATGAGAAAAAGTACTGGAGCAAGCACAGTACCCTGGGGGACTGAGCTCTTCACGGTTGATGGGCTGGATTTTATTTTGTTGACTATTACACATTGGGTTCTGTTGGTCAGGAAATTGTAGATCCATCTACCTATTTTTCCGGTAATTCCTTTTGAACGCATTTTATGTGCAATAACACCATGGTCACATTTATCAAAAGCTTTTGCGAAATCTGTGTAAATTACATCAGCGTTTTGTTTGTCTTCCATAGCATCTAATGCCATATCATAGTGGTCCAGCAACTGCGATAATCGTTTTTTACCATTTTGGAATTTTTTTTACACATAATTCAATATATTTGTTCTCCCTTCCTATTTATGCTACGATGCTGAGACATAGACCAGATGAAACCCTTTTTATATACAACTCTTCAAAAAAGTGTCAACTGAAATCATGTCTATGACTCTCAGCTATCATAATAGCATATAATAAAAAAATATTATAATTAGTTTTAGTAAAAAAAATTAAGTTAATGTTTTTTTTCAATTTTTTTTTATTGGACGATTTGCATGAAACTTATACACCTGACTGCACGTAAGCCTATCTGTAAGGCTGCCAGTTTTGGAGAAAATTTGTTGATGTCAACCTCAGCCACAGATGGCAGCACTTTATATTTTAATGATATATTTTTCAAGTAACATAAACGGCTTCAAACTCTTTCATTTTTATTCAATTTACATGAAACTTACACCTTATATGTAAAGTTTATGTCTCTAAAGTCTGAGGTTGTTTTGTTTCCCTAAGTTCATTTATTGATTTTATAATAGCAATATACATGACATTTGCATAATTTTTTTTTGGGGGGGAGGGGGAACTTTGACTATTTGTATTAAGAAAACTTAAGATGTTTTGGAAACTCCCAAACAACAGATCTTTTATTATATGCTTGTGTGTCAGAAAGGTGTCATAGAATGATTATATCTGAAAAGGTGAAATGTTTGAACTCACTTGAAAATGTGTAATATTCGCTGAAAAAAATTAAATATTCCTATTCTATTTAGGCTGCAGTACTGAAACTTGCAACAATTGCAGCCCTTTTCATATACAACTAGTCCAAAAATATAGGTTGACATGGAACAACTTTTAAAAAACAATTCTAATGCCCCCTATAGGTAAAACTGTTGATGTTCATCCTGATCGCCAAGGTGTATTAAGAATAGTTAGGGTTCAGTGTCGAGGCACTACCACCTTAAAAACTTTAGAAAAAATAGTATCACTAGAATTAGCTGAACATGAATGTTCTACAGAGGTAACTACACCCCAAGTTTCAGAGGACAGTGATAATGTCCAACAGAGCACGCGATCATCTAGAGTCGCTGTTCTAGATGTAAACTGAACTGTAACTAGATGTTTAACTGAAACATCTAGTTACAGTTCAGTTGTAAACTGAAACTTAAACAGTACTTTGATTCTGCCTAAGTGCTGACAATTCATCATTTGAGTTTGGTGATCATTATGATTCAGAGATGGGTTAGTGTTTAGTAACTCAACAGTTGCAAGTCATAGTAACCCTAGACAGTGACCTCACTGTGGATTCAAAGTCTCCTTGATCTTGAATGACACAATGATATAATATTTATATTCTTACTGTATAACAATGTAGATTACAACTTATACAATACTTTCATTCTGCCTAAACTGCAGACCATAGCCATCTGTTCTTGAGAATATTCTCTGAGTCTGCAGAATCATTCAGTGACCAAGTAATTCAACCATTACATGTCATCGCGACACTAGTCATTGACTCTGCTGTAGACTTTAGAGTTCTTAATTTTAGATGACTAAATAATTTATATTTTTCAACATTTAATTCATGTCCCCCTAAATGACTTAGGGGGACATGAGAGTCACATCTGTTCTACAGATTCGGGATAGCCGTTATGTGCGTACTAACATACTAACCTTCTAATCCCATGAAAGTAATTTCTGGGTAGAGAGACAGGTACGTCAGTACTAAGACCTGAACTGCGACCCGGGATCTTCCCCCTCCCCCTTCCTGGAGTTATGTTGGAAATATCCAACACTTATTCATAATTTTTAGTACTTCAATAAATCATTCTTGTACTAACAACAATAATTTACTAATATTACTAATCTGTAAACTAACAATATTAATTCTTCTCTACTGCGTAAAAACTGCGCCAAATCTTTCCTACTTCATGACAATGTTGTGTCAGACAACTTAGCAGAGGGAAAGATAACATCTACATTTCAGAATATTATTTCCTATTCTTCCTTTATATCAGTATTCTTTCCTAAGAATTATTAACTGATACTTTGTCAACCAGTGATCAAATAATATAGCGTTATTAGCTGAAGATCACTATATAACAGTACTGCTACGGACTCGTCACCCGTGACAGGTGGCAGAGTGGCAGTTCCAGCGCCATCTACGAGTCCGCACCCAAACTCCCCGGGAATCGTAGGTAATATGGACAATACCATTTGGTGGTGGCTATCTAAAACTTGCCAATGGCTAAAGATTCCAGCCTTGGTCAGCCAGTGGGGTCGTTGTGAGTGACCTCTGGTGAGGTGACGCATCAAGACCAGCGCCATCTAGTGTGTGCTACAGAGCACAATCCACAGTCTGTAGTTGACTATAGAGTCAACTCCCCAGTGGGTTAGTGGTATTTCCTAGTTCACCAGTATCAGCAAGGTCATTGATGATGGTTTTGTGTCCACAGAGGTGGCGTCTGGGGGCAGCGGTACTGGAGACGGCAGTTCATCTTGGGCAGTCCAGAGTCTCCCTACATGGAAACGACCAAGTAAGCCGCCGCCGATGAAGCAGTGTGGTAGCTGCTAGTGCTTTTGTGTTGAAAAGGATCGGTGTACTTTTGGG